TGCGTATTCAGTGTAAATGAAATGAGTGATTTGAGGCAATGCAGTGAACAATTTATGACGGAATTTATTGAAATGTACAGAAACTTTCCATGTCTCTGGAAAGGCAAATCGAGCGACTATGCTGACAGAGATAAAAAGAATAAGGCGTACAAGGAGATATTAACCAAGTTGACGGAAATTGATTCATCGGCAACAATATAGAAATGGTGAAAATGAGAATTGACTCGATTCGAGGAACATCTTTTTTTTTTAACATGGCATATAGCTCTACAGATTTCGGGTGCGATGTGCCTCAAAGCTTGAGGAGGAGGAGGAGGTATTTCAAATCTTCGTAGCTTCTTCCGGTAGCGATAAACCTCAAAGTGGCTGTCAGACGTTCATGGCGGTTATACTTTATCTCATGAGAGTATCCTCTTTCTTGATTAAAGGCGTTACTAACCTAAGTAGTTCTAGGTACGTGTCTTCATCCATTCTCACGTAATTAAACCAATTACCTGGTTCTAACCGCAATTCCTCCCAATAAATTAACGTGAGAGAATTGTTTCCTTTTTAGAAACCACTCTTTTGCCCATTTAGAACGTTTTCTCTTAGCATATTTTACTTTTATTGCTAAAACCGTAGCTAACGCCACTGTCGTCTCCATGACAATGACAATACTGAAGGAAAACTGAACCGAGCAGTGGATGGGCGCCACCACGGTTCGTGATTGCCCAAACAGTTTTGCACGTCGGTTAATCCTGTCGTAAAAGAATGACGTCTGTGGGGGCCTTTAGACGTCTTAGTTCATCCCTACTGTAGTCCAACAACTATTTGGTATCAAGCTTTGAAGGGTGAATAAACGCCTTGGAGTGAGCCAATCCTGGAAGATTCTGCCAGAAGTCCATAAATCTTCTTGCCATCCAGGTGTTCAATCAATAGAGACCAGTTTGAGAGTTAAGAATTGTTTTTTTTTTCTCCTGGATAAGCCAACTTGGTTGTAAAATGCTTGCAGAGAAGAGTATTGCAATTTGGTAAAAGTGCTTGTTTTGTTTAAAATTCGCTGTCCTGTTCAGCTTTTCAGGGTATACACATCCAGCTCCCATTTGTTTAAGAAAATTGCTACGCTCCTTGACCTAGAGCTTGCGGTAGTTGTTTGAAAAATATCAGTGCATTACAAAGTACACAATCTATAAAGCATATGTTTCAAGTTGGGAAACGCTTCGTTGTTTAGTATAAGTTTGGCAGCCATCAATAGCGAATGTTTTTGGTGAATTTGTGAATATGGAGAAAATTGGTCATTGTTATGTGGTACAATACTTTTATTTGGAAGGCCTCAACCCAACCAATATAAAAGCTGAACTGGATTCTACTCTGGGTGAGTTTGCTCCTTCTTTTGTAACAGTGAAATATTGGGTAGCAGAGTTCAAACGAGCCCGTACGAGCTGCCAAGACTAGCAACGCAGTGGTCGACCAAATGAGGTGACGACTCTAGAAACGGTGAAGAAAATCCACAAATCGGTACTAAATGATCATCGACTGAAAGTGGGGGAGCTCGCAGACGTAGTGGACATTTCTAAAAGTGTGGTACATCATATATTATCTAAAAATGTGAACATGAGAAAGCTGTGTGCAAGATGGGTGCCGCGTTTGCTCACACTCGCGCAAAAACAATGTCGTGAAGATGTTTCAATTGAGTGTTTAGCGAAGTTCCACAGCAACAAAGCAGAAGTCTTGCGTCGTTTCATAACCTTGGATGAAACATGGGTCCATCACTTCACACCCGAGACAAAAGAACAATTGAAACAGTGGACTCAACAGGGAGAACCGGCTCCAAAGAATGCGATCACCCTTTCATTCCCAGGCAAGGTTGGGATGCACGTAAGATAATTTTCATTGGCTATCTTAAAAAAGGTAAAACTATCAACGACGAATATTATACGAACTTATTGCAACGTTTCGGTGCTAAGAAACAAGTAATGTCTCATCAAGACACTGCACCAGCTCACAAATCCATTATCTTAATGACCAAAATTAACGAATTAGAGTCTGAATTGCTACCTCATGCACCCTGTTTACCAGATTTAGCCCTCTCGGATTATTTCTGTTCCCAAACTTGAAAAAATGGCTGAGTATTCAGAGATTTACCAACGATGAAGAAGTGATGTCAGCAGTTAATGCATTTTTTGAGGAGCAAGACAGTTCTTATTATAAAAACGGTATCGAACTTATTGGCCGTATCTGGGAAAAGTATATAGAGCTGCATGGAGATTATGTTGAAAAATAAATACATTTTTTTCCGGGTACTTCCGGAACCACCTTCGTTATCAACCTCTGCTAGACTAACATGTTACAACTGCATAATAAGGCCACACTTTGGCTACTATGCCACACTGACGTATCTATTCAACCAAAATCAAATGGGACAGTTGCAGAAACTACAAAATCGAGGTATGAGAATCATTTTGAGATGCAACCAGTATGCCCCTATTGAATCTATGTTGAATACTTTACAATGGCAACCGGTACATAAAAGACTATTATTTGAGCATGATTTTTATTTTCAAAATTACGAGTGGGATACAACCAGCGTATCTTAGCAGATATTTAGTTCGAAATAGTGACATTCATTCATATAACACAAGAACATGTAATACATTTTATAGATCCTGAACAAACTGTGAGAGTGGAATGAATTCATTCTACTAAATAAACCCAGCTTCTAAAGGTTTAGATAGTTTCAATAAGTTACCTGATGAAATAAAACATGTAAATTCCTTAAAAGTATTCAAAAAGTTATTATTAGAATATATCAAATTGTAATACATGACGCACTGTAAAATTATATATGTGTATTAATTATTCATATATGCATAACTATATATTGTATATTAGGATTCCTAAAATAAAGTCTACTACTACAACTACTACTAATAAAAATATTCTCGGGAAGTCAAGCGGCGTTGGAAGCTCTTTTCTCCTACTGAGCAACGTCTAAATTGGTAGCAAACTGCCAAAAAAGACTCTCCTCGATAGGAAGACTTAACAGATTGTGTCTGGTCTAGGTTCCTGGCCTGGAAGGCAATAAGGCTGCTGACTTCCTTGCAAAGGAGGGTGCTGCAAGCAGCTTCATGAGACCAGAACCTGTCATTGGCATTGCTTTAGACTTTGCCAAACAAAGATTTAATACCTGGATAGCAAAAAACTGTATGGACTTCTGGCAGAATCTTCCAGGAATGGCTCACTCCAAGGCGTGTATTCACCCTTCGAAGCTTGATAATAAACAGTTGTTGGACTACAGTAGGAATGAACTACGAAGTCTAACAGGCCTGCATATGCAGAGCACATACTTTGTGCCTGCCCCGCTGGGGACCGAATCAGGTTTTTAGAGTTCGTCAGAGCCATACTCTTATTATCTGACCTGAAAGACCACTCAGTATACAAACTAATCGGCTTCGTTAGGAAGCTGGGTTTATTTGGCCGAGTGTAAATAGGTGAGCCACAATAAACCCTTGCGGGTTGCGGTGGACAGTCGAATAAACCCACTAACTTTGGACCTAACCTAACCGCTACCTTTTATTTCTTTGTTTCAAAAATACATACATATTGGATCCATGTCCATGGAAAGTAATCTACCTCCTGTTTTGCTTCCAATTCAAATTTGCTCATGATACAGATCAGCTATAAAAGAGGACAACGAGTTTCCCATTTGTCATGCCTTCATGCTGTATGCAGAAACAGTTGTTGAACTGGAAGCAATTCTGTTCCATGTTGATTTTTTTAAAGCAGCATGAAGGCACGGCAATGGGAAACCCGCTGTCCCCCTATATAGCTAATCTGTTTCGTGAGCAAATTTGAATTGGAAGCAAAAGAGGAGTTAAAATACTTTCCATGGACTTGGATCCAATATGTTAATGATGTATTTGCTATTTTTGACAAAAAGAAATCTCACTTTGTTTCAACTCTTAATCGCAGTTCCCTGAATATTGGGTTTACATATAAATTTGAAAACAATGTGGAGTTAACATTCTTGGATATCGATCAGGCTAAGCGAGCCATCAAAACTCGTTTCAAAGAACACGCAGTACATATTCTGTTTTTTTTTTACAAATTACTGAGGAAGTTGAATAAACAAAAAAGGTTCTGCATTTGCCATTTATATTAAATGTGAAACATTTTGAAAACTAGGTGAGATAATATGAAGATTATATGAAACAGATCTAGAATTTGAAACTATAATAGAATATAAAAAGTTCTAATTAAAATAACGAAATGTGAACCTACCTCCGATATAAATATCAGGACTGGAGAAATCTATTTGTTGATCACCGACGTTTGAACTTTGATAAGTTCATCTCTAGGGTTCTACAATGGGAAGGAAGCGGCTGAATAGAGATTAAACGTGCCAATCTGTATTGTATGTTTTTTTTTAAATATCAATAGTATTTTAGTCCATCAAATGCCAATCACTAATGAAAGCGTGAATTTTCCGTGATAAAAATGGTCAAAAAGGACAACGAACGATCATACGGAAAACAAAACGTGTAAACTTCTACAACCAGAGATAACTGGTTACAGTTCTAAATTGCTATCAAATCAATCAATTTAATAGATAGATAGCTTCACTTCCAACAGGTGTACAGCCATTTACAGCGCTTGAAGAAAATATGCTGAAAATAATAACATATTTAGATTTAATCTAATCATTGTGAAAGACATGCAAGATTGGTTATACACTATAAATCCATGCTGATCATCTGATATGTCGAAAAATTGCTCAGTATTGAAATGGCTCTATGGTTTTTTATTGGTGTAATATCACCCTTTTTAAAATAACCAAACGATAGGAACGAAGATAACTGAGACAAAAAAGTCATGCAATCTAGAGTGGCAGGTAAAAACGTATATTCAGGAACTTTTATCTCATTGTAGAGCCGTAAGGATGGACTTACTAAAATCCGAAACATCGATAATAAACAAGCAGACATTTCCACTGATCCTATCCCATATTTTAAACAAATCAGTTTTTTGATCACCAAATCAATTCAGAAACAGAACCATATAATGTTTATTTTTCAGGTGGTGTTGGTTGTGCAGCCACTCAAATAGCCAAATTACTAGTGAAAGATGTCAAAGTATTTGGAGTTGGCTCAAAAGTGAAAGAAAATCAGGCTTTACAAAATGGAGTCGATGTATTTTTTTCCAGGGAAACATTTTTTGAAGACGTGACAAAATACAAATTTGATGTTATCCTTACAAATGAAGCAGGTTCAACATTCAGTTTTCTGCAGGCGTGTCTCAAACCTTTAGGCAGGATNATGGAGATTATGTTGAAAAATAAATACATTTTTTTCCGGGTACTTCCGGAACCACCTTCGTATAAAATAATGAAAAGTATGCTGTATAAGTGTAGAGAATGAAAATTAAAGTTTTTCATCAAAAATGATACTTTTGAATGTGTTATAAATATTAATAATAGTTGATCTATCTTTCATATTATATACACTATATTATTTATTTATTCATACATGATAATATCCATTACAATGTAAAAATTTCACAGAAAATAAGTAACGATCTAAAAATATAAAAAAGGGCGCTACGGAATGTTTCTGCAGAACACACATATATACATCATAAGATACAAAATTAAAATTAAAACTTGTTACTTCCTTATATAAACAATCACCATCTTGAATTATTCAATGATTAACGAAAAAACAGATTTTTTTTTTAACAGATTGTTAAAGGTTGTATGTTTGCCATAATTTGTATGATGGAAAGGTATATGAAATAAATGGCTGTGTCTAAGATTTCTGTTCGGAACATGAATGTTGACAGATTCAAGTATTTCAGGACAAATCGTCAGTCCATTGAGCAGCTTGAATACATAGCATAGATGTGCGTGAATTCTTCTAATTTGCAATAGTTTCCGCACCATTTCTTGTAATATAATCGAATATCTACTGGTGGTACTGTATTTGAAGACCCGACTTGAAAGAACAAGCCCTCAAAAATTTATTTTGCACTCTTTCTAGAGAGTGCAAAATACATGCATATTCTAACTCAAGACTCCATCAGAGCTAAATAAATCCTTTTTAATGCTTCAATGGAAAAACCTGAACAATGATGTGAAATAAGACCTAGTGTTTTGGATGTTTTCACACTCATTTGGTTAATATGGTTTACAAATCTAAGTTGTTCATAAAAAATGACGCTCAAATCTTTTATAGACGATGTGTATTATAAGTGCTGATCATTTATGTTGTATGATGTATTGAATTTCCTACCAACTCTTGAGAAGATAATAAAATGGCATTAATTTACAGTAAGAAACAAGTTATTTGTAACATACTATTCATAAACTTTATCAAGATCATCTTGAAGGAGAATTTGGTCATTGTATGACTTTATCGGTCTGAAAAGCTTCAGGTCATCCGCAAACAATAAAAATTCACTGTTTTCAAAACAGTACCATCCTTGTGGCACTCCAGATATTACTAACATATCACCCAACCGATTTTCATCCCCTAATTTTAACCTGTTGTGAACGACCAGTTAAAAAACTACCAAACTACTTTATCAAATGTTCTGTAAAACCAAAATTTCCGATCTTCTTCAATAGTTCATTGTGACTTACTCTGTCAAATGCCTTGGAAAAGTCAGTGTATATGGCATCCATATACATTCAATATTTTTTGCTCGTAGATGAGAAGATTGGAAACAGTCGACTCATTTCGAGAAAAGCCATGTTGGATATTGATCAATCTTTCTCTTCATGAAAAGTTGAGTTGATCTCAAATTAAACTGTCAAGTAATTCTGCAATAGATGACTGGCTGTACACACTTCGATAATAGACATATCAAAAATTGATTAAAAAAATGTTAAATGAGCCCATTATGTTAGATATTTCCTCTGAGTAAATGAGCGACAATTTGAATGTATTATTTGATTTTTTTTGTTGACTCTCAAAATGAGAGATTTTCTAATTGTCTATGCTAGCAAAGTACCCATTTCAGAAATTTTTTTGTTCATTACATTAGCCATTTGCTTTTCATCTGTTAATAATTCATCTAATTCACATATTTGATAACTTTACTTTTTTTGAATGTTTCCTTTAAAAATACAGAATTATTTGTAGTAGAATACTGAAGTGATCCGTTATATTTGTACTATTGGAGGTATGATGTAATCTGAAATATTACATGAATATTTGATAAATATTTGTGCAATACAAAACTGATGACTTTTTTGCACTGGTGTTGGATTATTTATTGTTGATATATATCCAAATTCATTGAGAATGCTTTTGTATTCAATACTATGTTCTTTCAGAAGGTGTATATTAATGTCTTATATTATGTTTATTGAAGGTGACTAGTATAGAGAAGTTATGCCAACTTTATAATTATCATATTGTGATATTTTCATGTTCACCCATTACTTGGTGAAAATAAATAACACTATTCTGTTTATGTTAAGTATTTGGATAAATAATTAATCAAGAGTTACATCCAAGTACAAATCAATGATTTATGAAATTTATAAGCAAAAGCAAAATTTTATTTTGAAGATATTGGATAGCACATATTTCAGTTGATTGAGCTTGGTGTAAGAGAGATTATTTCCAGAAAAGGGAAAAAATAAACTCAAGAATCTCAGTTTCAAAATCCAAATATCCGCATATAAATTTGTTGATTGTTTAACCGTGTGATACACTGATTGGAACCTTTGGTGTAGTAATGAATATTACTGGAAGATTAATCTTCCAGTTTAATCTTTCTCTTGAAGAACATCAAACCGTTATTTTTAACATCTCGACATGTGTTTCGATCACCAAGTGATCATCTTCAAGAGGAAGATTAAAATATTTAACAACACCAACATCAAACCGTTATTTTAAAACCTCGACACGTGTTTCGATCAAGAGGAAGATTAATCTTCTAGTTTAATCTTTCTATTGAAGAACACCAAACCATTAATTTCAACACCTCGACACGTGTTTCGATCACCAAGTGATCATCAACAGGAATATTATTCTTCCAGTTTATTCTTCTTGAAAATGATCACTTGGTGATCGAAACACGTGTCGAGGTGTTGAAATAACGGTTTGGTGTTGTGATAAAACTCCAGTAATATTCATTACTACACCGAAGGTTCCAAACAATACATCACAAATGTTACCTGTGAGACCTGTGTAAAGAGGTTTCTTTCATACGATCCTTACAAAGCTTTGGAATATTTACATAACCCAATAACATAGTGTTCAAATTGAAGGGAGTATATGGGGCTCATCCACATTTTNAATTAAATTCATTTCATTACCATCTATATTTGATTCATATTTCACTCGGAAATAAGTCTGAAATTCATGATTATTTTAAATCTTTTTATTACAGTTTGAATCTACCGCTACTCGTTTACTAGAGTCTGTCTATTAATTCACTTTTTTCCAGTTACTTTGAAATGACGGCATGCAAGCCAACGTTTTAATGTTACAATATTGTTATCCTTTTAGTTTAGTTTTGCTCCAGGAACGTTTTCTTTTGTTGAAAACATTATTTTTTAATTGTACTTTACCATATGTTTATATACTTATGATGCACTGTTTGGAACCTTTGGTGTAGTAATGAATATTACTGGAGTTTTTTCCCAACACCAAATCGTTATTTTCAACACCTCGACACCTCGAGGAATAGGCAGTGTTTGTCCCTGCCGAACTACTAGCGCTGCTAGTGAGTGATTTTTCGTACTCATAAATGATATAATTTTTAATTCACTAGGAACTTCTGTGTAAGTACGTAAGGAGAGATGTTTCGGGATTCCATTTCGAAATATTTCTTTTCTTATACATATGTATCTCTCCTCGATACAGTTTTAGACTTATTTTGATTTCCCGTATTTAAGTGTTTATGACTACGGTTCCTTATGGCAATAATCAATGTTTTTCATTCTGGCATTCAAATTATAAAACTAGATGTCGCCCTCTCCTTGATCCTCTAGAACAGGGGTTCCCAACCGTTTCAGGTGGTACGCGTGAGTGATGTGAGCAACATGCTGTTAATAGCAAATATGAATCAGCTCACGGGTCGCTAGAAAAACGAATTACCCATAACCCACCCAGTGAACGACCTGACATCTTTGTTTTTCTATTACAATGGAATTTATAATTCTTAGGTAATAAAACACTAGGAATTTTACCTCGGAATCGTCAGATAGTACAATTGGTTCACTTGGAAGGCCTTCAAAAAAGATTATTCAAAAGTGGACTGTATCAGAAATCCTTTTTCGGGAATTCCACCAAATGAATTGGAACTAAAAGAAAGTTTTATCAACCTTACAGAAGATATTTATATTTCAGGAGCAAATGAAGTTGTGCAGAACGAACACAGGCTCTCAACATTCACTCTACTGAAAATGTGGTGGAATACAAAGTACATTATCCCCTCGTCCCTAATTGAAAATAATAGAGTGGTGGCCGGTTTGCATTTAGGAACACTATTGGAACAAAATCGCACTAAAATTGAAGCTGTTCTTGATATTATATGGGATAATATTAGGGAAGGCAAACTTAAACCTATTATAGATTCCGTATGGCCCATGGATGACATAATAACTGCCACCAAACAATTAGCTGAGCGGAAAAATGTGGGAAAAGTTATCATTGAAATTGAAAACTTAGGTCTAATTAACGTGAAAAATGTCTTTTATTGTGCAAAACGTGGGAGAAAGTTCTTATTTAAATCACAGTAATCAAAAATCTTTTTTGATTAAAAAATGGCGTTTTTAAAGAGTAATAAATAATATATAGTTCTGTAGTTTTTTTTATTCAAACGATTTCTTCTGTGAAACGTCCTATGACAGAAATTAGGTTTTTTTTTATCAAGAGCTTGCCTAAAGCTATTTCATTTCTGACTAATTTCGTAGCATTACTGCTTCTGAAAGAGATGTTAACTCTAAAATATGGGAAAAAACTATTTTAATTTTTGATATAACTTTTTACAACATTACTTCAAAGAGGAAGTTTAAATTAACTTTTGTTGCTGAATGGCAAAGGGTGTATTTGACAAACTTGAATTGTCTAAAGACAGTAGATATGTTACGATTAGTTGTAAATAGTTGAATGCTAATTATTAAATTAGGACACTTTATTTGTGAAACACCCGATATATAGTTCTAGCCGACTGGGTAAGTTTTTTTTGAAAGGAAAAAAAAGAACGTGTTTTTTTTTCTTCCGTCCGCTCTGGGGCATTCGTGAGTGAAACTGAATGATAACGTTCGGAAAACTTAATTTCAGGCAAATTCTAGTTTTCCAATATGAAATTACGTCTTTTGACGGATATAAACCTGCCGTGCCTTGTTGTGATATTGTGATTGGGTAATTCTGCTGTAGAGCGATCTTACAATATCCTTATTATCGATTGGGATGAATTTTACGAATGAATTATTTATTCCGGACCGTTTTAAAACATCTCCGACAATGTTAGGGTAGTCGAGCATTGGGAGGTAAGCGTATAGTTTTGTCACTCATAATTTTTTTTGGCGCGGATGTATCGCGAAATCAATTATTTACGAGAATACCTTTTTTTTAGATGTTCTTCTCTGATATGGTAAATCGAAATTTCGCCCGGACTGTGCTACCTTTGAGAACACGTCGAACTTTTGAACTTTATTGCCTTGTACATAGCGACTAAACCGTAAATTTTCCGAAATCATATGGATGGTGGTGTTCCTATTTCGACCGTGTGGACGTGGAATTAAGAGCTTTTCAAGAATTTGCGTAGTAGCGGGCCATAGGAATCTACACATCACTAGCAGCTACACCATAAATATCCTACCCATTAGGGTAGGATATTTATGGTGTTTTTTTTGCAGGAACCTGACATTATTGTTTACGAAAGCAATGAACCTCGCTGAATAGTTTTGTCTTCGCCTTTGTATAAGCGTTTAGTTTGTAGTATAAGTGAAGAATAAATCCGTTGAACAGGCTTATTTTGGTGAAGCAACATTCAACGTTTTTATTCTTGTTCCTTTGTCGTATTCCACCTTACTGTTTTCGCGTATCTGGATTGTTTAGTAGTTTCATTTCAGGTTTAGGCTAGTCGGTGCACAAGAAAGTACTTTGCGCCCTTGTTATCATTTTTTGTACATATTTATACTCATTTGTCGGATTTAACCCACAGTCCTTACGAGCAAGCACATTACTTGCCGTACACAAAAAAAAGGACAGAAGTGTTATTCCTAATGTTTTAGAAATAAATGTCTCTGACAGATAACATTTTTTTTATTATTAAATTTAATGTAATAGAAATTGGCGCCCAACGCGGGGCGATTTTTTTTATTGATGTTATCAGTTTACTTGTTCATTGCTTTTGTAATCATCGTTCTGCAAAATGGATTCATCTAGATTCGTGAGAGATGAGTTGGAATAAGAATTGAACATAAGAGGCTTCTTAAATTTAGATTCTGAAACGGTACTTTCTATGCGTAAACAATTGAAAGATATAATGCAAAATGAGACTTTTGGTAGTTCGATAGCAATACCGGATACTTTGAATATAGACGTAACTCTTGAACTAGACAGTTGTAATAAGAAGGTAGTTGAGTTGGAATCTTACGTAACTTCACATGAATTCCGTTCCGTTAGTGCAACTGAATGGAGATACGTTGAAACATTTGTATTCCCGTTTGAGTAGACTTGAACCGCTAGATCAGCGTTTCCCAACCTGTGGTCCGCGGACCCCTGGGGTCCGCGAGTATATGTATGGGGGTCCGCGGTGTCTTCTCTGGACCATACATAAATCGCTCATTAAATGCAAAAGGGCCGCAAAACGAAAAATCAGCAAACCAGTTTTATTAGAAAAATGTGATCTAAGCACACGATATTTAAAAAATTAAAAAAGATGCATCCAATGATGTATAACACTATTATCAATCTATAAAAAAAAGAAGAAAAAATACATAAATTGGTTTTTCAAATTTTGTTTTGGCTCTCCTGTAAAAAAAATATATTTGGGATTGCGTCCCTTTTGCATTTAATGAGTAAAATGCTTAATTTTTCGTAATCGCCACGCTTACTTAGCACGGCGAACGTGCGGTGAGCGAGAGCGAATGAATGATGTGAGTGAATCAAGTGCGTGCTGGCGTCGCGCCGGGCCGGGACTCTTACCGCACCGCTTGCAAATTACGCTTACACCCGCCGCCCGCGATTAGTACAATTGTTTTGATTTGTGTTGTGTTGCGTCCGAGATTAAAATAGTAAAATTACGTTTTTCAAGTTATTGTGACCTGTGAAAATGAAACGTTGGTTAAAACCAAATGACTCCGCTTTGGACGAAGCAAATGAAAAACCTTCGACTTCAAAGGTTAAACGTCGTAAGTTTTGCGACGAATACTCAACTTTCGGTTTCACAAGTGCCAATTTAAACGGGGAAGACAGACCTCAGTGTCATATGCAACGAAGTTTTGTCAAATGAGTCGATGAAACCGGCCAAACTCCGACGTCATTTAGAAACAAAACACCAGGAATATTGTGACAAATCAAAAGCCTTTTTCAAAGTTAAAGCCTCGCAATTGGAACAAAGCAAAAAAACAATGATAAAGACTGCTACTGGGACCAATAACGAAAGTGCTGTATTAGCGTCCTACCAAGTATCTTTGCTAGTTGCAAAAACTGGTAAGCCGCACACCATTGCTGAAGACTTAATTTTACCGTGTGCTGAAATCATGGTTTCTGCTATGTTAGGTGATAAAGCTTCAAAAGAATTGGACGTTGTATCGTTATCAAACAACACAGTGAAGAGGAGAATTGATGATTTGTCGGGAAATGTTAAAGAACAGCTTATTTTCTATGTTGAAGCAAGCAGATTTTATGCTTTGCAATTAGATATGAGCACAGATATTAGCAATGATGCAAACTTGCTTGCATATGTTCGTTACGAACACAACAACAGCATAAGTGAGGATTTTTTATTTTGTTTACCTTTACCTTCGCACACTACAGGTGAAGCAATATTTGAAGTATTGAACAACTTTATGTCCGCTCATGAAATTACATGGGACAAGTGTGTGGCAGTTAGCACCGACGGTGCTCGGGCTATGACCGGGACACGAATAGGGCTGCAGGCGCGCGTGAAGAAGATGAATCCAGCTATTATCTGGCATCATTGCTGCATTCATAAGGAGACATCAGCAGCTAAAAACATGCCAGAACAATTAAAAACAGTGTTGGACGACATAGTGCAGGTGGTGAATTTTATTAAAGCTAGGCCTTTAAATTCCCGTATTTTCGGTATCATTTGTAAAGAAATGGGAAGCATTCACAAGCAGTTATTATTGCACGCTGAAGTCCGTTGGTTATCTCGTGGCAAAGTTGTGACGCGTGTTTTTGAGCTGAGAGATGAGATCAGAATGTTCTTTTTGAAGAATTCTGGACACAGCGTCAGCAACTATGCTGATCACTTCAATTACTTTGGATGGCTTACAATGGCAGTATATTTGGCTGATATATTTAGTGCCCTTAACGAGTTGAACTCAAGTCTACAAGGGAGAGATACCAACATCTTCCAAGTCGATGACAGAATTGAAACGATGCTAAAAAAACTTGACCTTTGGATAAATCGTACAGTTCAAAAAAACTATAATCACTTTCCAACACTGTCAGCGTTTTTGGAGTCCTCTGGTGAAGCAATATTGCCAACACAAGTACAAGATGAAATGGTGACACATCTCCGCACTTTGAGGTCTTCGTTTCGGGATTATTTTCCAGTATCTGACAAAAATAAAAATTGGATATCAGACCCTTTCAACACAGATGTTTCTGATATTACTGGCTTGACAGCGGCACAGGAAAGCCAATTAATAGAAGTATCCTGTGATTCAGCATTGAAACGCAATTTCAACGAATCTTCACTATCAAGTGACAGATTATAAGGAGATATCGGACGAAGCACTGAAACATTTACTGCTTTTTTCAACCACATACCTATGTGAAAAGGCATTCTCTATTCTTGTGTATACAAAAAACAAATACAGAAACAGATTACAAGTAAAATCTGATTTGAGATTACATCTTAGTAGCAACATCAACCCGAATATTCCTGATTTAGTTGCAAAAAAGCAACATCAACCTTCACATTAATTTTTTTTTTCATATTAATCATAATAAACAGTTATAATTACCTCCTGTATTTGTTTTTTTTTGTATCTGTAATAACTTAAATAAATACCTAATCCGTTTTTTTTGCTGTTTATTTTATTAACGGGGTCCGTGAAAACTGTGCTTGATTCCTTAAGGGTCCGTGGACTGAAAAAGGCTGGGAAACGCTGCGCTAGATGATCCTTCGAAGGCTGGCTAGGTACTATAGAAGTTTCTTTTGATCAAAAACTGCAAGGAATTGATGATAGTCCTATTACTAAGATCACACCAGTTTCCGCGAATACCACCAGTTCCAATCTGCCCACAGTTTCGAGAAAATCTACTCCTATCCATAAGTGGAATATTCAATTTACGAGAGCTCGTGGCACAATGAGCGTTTGTGCTTTTTTGGAATTAGTAGAGGAGTATTAGAATTCGCGAAGGGTTTCCGATAATGAACTTTACTATGGGGTAATAGATTTATTGGAAGAGCGAAAAGTTGGTACCGTTCGGTTAAGATGAAACCACTTCTTGGGGGGAGTTTGTTGACCAGTTCAAATCTGAATTTCTTCCGGATGATTTTCAGACCGATTTCTTAGAAGAAATTAGGCGTAGCAATCAAGGTGAATTTGAACCCGTTGGAGAATTTTTCGGGCGTATTTCAAATATGTTCAATAGATTACCTCACTTTTTGTCCCACTCGTGCGGTTGAATATTTTACGACGCATATAATAGAACCCTACTATATTGATAAACTAGGACTTGCAGATTACTCAACAGTCAATGAACTAAAGACCCTGTGTAAGAAATTAGAATGCTCGCGGAATATGTCAGTGAGGGTAAAGAATTCGGGATTCGCGAAAGGTAAAGTGAGTTTACTCGAACCTGATTTAGCTTATGAAGTTCCTTGTACCTCGGAGAACCTGGATAAGAGAGCAGGTTGAATTAGTTTCTCAAGAAATAACCAAGCAGATGTAAAAAGTATACAATGTTGGAATTGCCAGGGGGAAGGTCATAGTTTTGCCAAATGTAATGCGCCTAGGAAAGAGTTATTCTGTTATCGATGTGGAAAAAAGGGGTAACTAAGTATAAATGTGAATGTTAAAAAAACGGAACACGAGATCGCCGGTCGTCGGTCATAAGTAATCGTCTCAATCCGGGCCCTTCAGATGCGTCCTGGGAATCTTGGGTAGATTTTGTAAAGATTCGATATAAAAAGAGTCGAATCGATAGTCTTTTCAATTCACTGTATAACGATCCAAAGCTCTACCTGAAGGTTTCTATTTTCAATAAGAATTTCGTAGGTCTTTTAGATTCAAGCGCTACACAAACTGTTATCGGTAGGTCTGGTTGGTGTAAATTACAAAGTTGAAATTAGAGAAATGTAATCAAGTAGTTAAGGTAGCAAACGGATTAAATTGCGATGTACTGGGCATTGTAACTATTCTGAAGTATTAGAAGGAAAATGTAGAGTATTAAGTTGTCTTGTGATTTTAGATGTTAATACCGAAATAATTTTAGGTGTCGATTTTTGGCGTGACATGAACATTGTAACTGATTTGAGAATTTTGTTTGGGAATTTAAAGAACCATGTACAGCGGTGGATGCGTTAGAAGTTGAGTCGCTTGACGACTCCGACAGAAGACAGTTCCAGGAAATTATTGACTCGTTTTTCGAAAGCATAGGTACGGGTTTAGGTCTTGCGAAAGTTGGTGAATGAGAGAGTTGACTGTCGTGAAAATTCTTTAACAAATTAACTTCAATGTAGGCTTAGTAAATATATTAATGAAAATAGAAAAAATCAAAACAGGTCTTGATCCAGTCATAATAGTAGATATAGTAAGTCAGAATCCACCTGTTAGTCACCTAATTTCAAAAGTAGAAATGAAAAATTAAAATCAGGAAGACATCAGTCGTTAAATGATAAAGGAAGTTATGCAAATAAATCTAATCTGCGCCCGAGGAGCGCGCAGTATAATCTGAATCTGAAAATACACTTTATTGACTGAAGATGTAATAGTTTTTATTAACAAAATTGTAAACTTCACATAGGTGTGTCTTTCTATGATCTTCACATGATATTGGATTTATAAAAATATAATCAATCTGTTGGATTTCAAAATAAATATTTCAAGTTAGACAAAAATCTGTATGAAATCCATTTTCAGTTTCTATCTATCCCTATACTATACAGGAGGGGGGTATCATTTGCTACCCTGTACATAAATAACTTCAAATTTGTTTTCTTTGGGAAATCTAATACATATTTTAATCCCAATAATTTGTTTCTGAACAGTGTCTTTTGTAATTTTGAACGTTTTATGACTTGTTTATACACCAGGCTTTTACTTTAAGTAAGTTATTAGAATATAAATTACTGAGAGCCTTCATACGCCGAACATTTACTCCAAAGGGTGGTATATGAACGCACGATCTGAAATTCGGAGTAGAATGTTTCTTGCGCCCGAGAAATTTCTTGTCAAAGATATGTTTATCATTTGGGATCAGAGCTACTCACGGATCAAATACGTCCTGAGCAAATAGGGGGCCTGTTTTTAACACCTAATTTAATCTCACCTCACCTGAGTTTTAGAAAAAATACTTTGAGGTCATTTAGAGCGAGAGAAAGACATTCTATCCATGTGACAGTACACCTGATTTGAAAGAAACGTCCCAGAGCATTCCAGGTCTCAACTCGATTACATTTTCACCGTTATGAGAGCTTCACTTGTACCACAGAGATTCTCACACCTGTTTTGAAAATAAGGCCCCTGGCTACAGTAGAAATATTTTACTCATTTGTGCCCTGGCGACACTTCGATCTCAAGGAGTTAGTTTCTGTCACCTATATTCTATCTTTTTTAGCGGTGAAACCAAGTTATTTGAAATTTATCGGATTTCTAATTTAAGTTGCATTCGAGTTTACCAACGATCAGAAGAACAGTGCTTCTTTCTGTTTTACTGTTCTGCCACAAAAAAATTGTAACAGATTATGACGAAAAAATTATCTTTAGACAAAAATTTGTAAATTTAGAGAATCGCACACATTGCGAAACATTTCACGCCGAGAGGTTGGCAACACTATCTGATTTATCTTCAAAATAGAAACACGGAACTTATCAAAATGGTCTTCAATCAACGGTTTTGATACCTCAAAAGCATTATGTTTTTCACATATCGTATAAACAAATAAGCATCACATAACGGTCACAGAACAAAGTATCCTGTTTTTTGACCACGGAACTACAGAATACCTTACAAAAGAGCATAGAACAGGAACCATGACTTTTTTTGATAGACGAAAATTTCGAAGGTGATTATCAACAAAAACATTTTTTTTTAATTATTAGTGAACGTGATTGAATGAAAATTATGAAATGAAACTAGTTTGTTCAAAATGTTGGCCTAACAACCCTTTTGAGAAGTCTCCGTGATAATTACACAATCGAAATTAAAATAAATTATATATACGATGTTTCGAATAATTTGTATCTACCACGAAAAGTGACATTAAACACCAGCATTAAAAAATCTTAGTGCTGCCAAATGAGTATTTTTTCTGTAAGGTATTCTGTGGTTCTATATCCGAGATGAAGTACTATGATGAAAATAGATTTTTCCCTCTGTAGTCATGAAATTGAAGAACTGAAATTACTTCTAAAAGTAACAAAATGAAGAGAGGTAATTCACCAATATGGTAGGTCTAAAAGTAATATTTTGTTACTGAAGTAACATCAAGAACCACATGTTCTTGCTGGCATCCTACTAACGGTGTTGAAAGACTTGTTCTCCCATCGGCAGAAACATTTGAAAACCGGATTTCAAGATGAATCAAGATTGATGTCACACTATGTCAATGAAGTAAGAAACCCTGCCCCTTGGTCAGGCGTCAAATCAAATTCATGAAACTATTATCCGTGCGTTCCATTGTTATTCTTCATTTGAATAACGATGAAATACATTCTCATACTATATAACAGGTGGCCTGAGTTTTCACGATTATATTTTTGGGAAGTTGCTCCATCTGAACTAAATGAACTAGTTTCTGGAGCACTATTGCGATGCATCACCAAATCTCCAATTGGTGTAAAAGACATTTTGATTACATTCGAACTTCATTCTTCATTTGTTCAACAACTTCACTGAAATTATATAAAAAAAATTAAGTTATACTTTTTTTAATACAAATAAAGTTAGCTTGCAATTATTGAAACTTATTGAGGCTTACGTAACCTCATTAGAACTTATTCTTCATTTTTTCAACCTTGACATTAGTAATGTTTACATGAACGCCCAAAATGTTTCATAATCCTTTCCACTCGAGTTTACGACAGTTGTTGGCGACCATTGATGCTATACAATTATAGCGAAAAGCATACATTTTCATCTGTCATTTCCGTACAAAATATTTTTGCTTTGGAGCAGCACTGGGCATACTCGTTTTTGAAAATTCTTATTTTACTTCACTGCCATTGACTGTTAATAGTATAATAATACATACAGAAACATTTTCAAACACTTGATAGCCTTGGCACCTTCCATTTTCGACAATAGTCACGAATTTATGTTTCATCACTTTTTAATCATCAATTCTAAGTTAAACAATTCACAAACTTTTTAGTAATTTTGCCAAACAGTTCTTAATTTCTAATAAAACTGTAAGATTTATATTTTTTGAAATTTTTAAATATTCAATTTCATTAAGTGGTTATTTCTCATTATTATAATTTATACTTATGTATTTTCTATTTTCTATTTTTCACAATTGTTGTAAATATTATGGTGTTACTTATTTTTTTACAAACCACATTTGTTGGCAGGAAGTTCCCGGTGCTTGATAAATACAAAGGAAAGTTGAGTTGATCAGATAAATATTTCTCAATGTTTGCCGACGTTATCTTTGTTTTTTTGTAAACATTTTGTTACTTCTATCACATCATGAAATCGTCATTTGAAAAATGAGTCTGTTAGTAATATAGAGTAAACCAGCTTCCTAGGGTAATTGACAATACATTGCGAAAATTTCGAATTCGAAAAGAATCAACTAGTATTACACTTTGTTTGAAGTTCCCGCCAGAGAGAGTTACTTTCGATTTCCTTAAACCGACCCGTTTATAATTCTATGCGCATGCTTTGTATACCTCTTTTGGATTACATTTCATCTTGTTCACATGTGAGTACTTTATTTTTCTTTAATAACCAAGGTAAATAAAAAATTATTACACTCGATTGTTTTGGTAGTGAACAGTGTTATCTTACAGTTTTCGTTTGAATTTTTGCTAGTTTTCAGTTTGGTTGCTCCTGTAAAAATTGTTCGGATTGTTTGACAGTGCATGATTTGGCTCTATTCGCGCCATGTTGCAATAGATTATTCGGAATATTCTTGGGAATCTTCTAAAATACAGTTGAGAATATATCTACCAAGATCATATTATTTTCTTGAAGTATTTATATAGGTAACAAACATATCGAAAACATTAGATTTACCATGAATATCGCATATATCGTTATTGTTCCAACCACATGTTCTTATGCCGCGTGGACAAGGGCTTAAGCCGGAGTTCAGTTTACGCCCAAAAAGTGAATTTGAACTAACAGTTTCTTTTATTTTTGTAGCTTGTAAGGTTGAAAACCAACATAATTAAAATGGCCGATATTGATGACACACACTTTGAGACTGGAGACTCTGGAGCCTCAGCAACTTTTCCTATGCAATGTTCAGCCTTACGTAAAAATGGTTTCGTTATGTTGAAATCCAGACCATGCAAGATCGTTGAAATGTCAACATCCAAAACTGGTAAACACGGACATGCTAAAGTACATTTGGTCGGCATCGATATCTTCTCAGGTAAGAGTTTCATTCGATAGCAATGAAGGTGGATTCCAGCACTAATCCTAAGTCCTAGAAGTCCATTTTTTCCTTATATATTGAAGAACTTATGATGTATATCATTTATTTTACAAAAGTTTTAATACAGTGTACTGTTGATAGAATGTATCACTTGTTGGTAAACTTTTTTAAAATTCAGGATTGAGAAGAGCTTGAAAACCTAAAATTTTTAAATATTACACTAATACTATCAAGTGTACAATGAATGCATTTAACTAAACACATTTGGTTTAAACTGGTAAGCCGCACACCATTNTTGAAAAAAGTCATAACTACAAAATATTTTTCCTTACCAAATACATTTTTTAAATAAATTTTTAGTTTTTTTTTGATGAAATGATCATCAAAAACTTAACATAAATTCGGATGGTTTTTTAATGAATTTATTTATATTTGCCATAATTTTTTTTTACTTTCTAAATGAAGTTGATTAACTCAACAATTGATATGTTCATTAACAAACTACAAATTTATTTCACAATTCGGAGGATATATATCACAAGTTTTGGCTTCCTTTGTCTAAAAAGGTGTTGATATATTAAATTAAAATTATACTAAAAATAACCGAAATATTCAAGTGGAAAATAATGTCAAATAAGTAATGAAATTGTACAAATAGAATAAAAATTGTGATCATCTTCAAGAGGAAGATTAAATTCTTGAAGATGGTCACTTCATGATTGAAACATGTGTCAAGGTGTTAAAAACAAAGGTTTAGTGTTGGGATGAAACTCTAATAATATTCATTACTACACCAAAGGTTCCAAACAGTGCATTACAATGAATGAAACGTAAATTATATGCAAACAATAGAAATAGTAATGAAAAATTATAATAAGACATTAACATAAATGAGGAAAAAACAAAATGGAAATAAAGATTTCAATAAGGTAGACCACAAAATTTCGATTATTAGTATTCACAATACAGATGAAGATCATTGTAAAAACTAACAATCAAAACATTGTAATTTATACTTATGTATTTNAAATCTGAGAAATTTCCTTTTTAATTTCTTGATGACCAGGTTTATATGTGTTCAAACAATTGGTTTAGGATTCTTTTTATATTTAATCCTCTTCCATCCAAATATTTCTACTACAGAAGTTCATTTTTTGTCTTGAGATAAGCTTGTGATTGTTTTTTTTTTTGATTTGGAGAAAAATCATTATTATAGAGATAACACTTACATAACAGGAAATTCACAATTTCATTTTAAAATTTACATTCTCTACCTGATTTTGTTCAGCTTTAATGACAATATTGCTTGTTGAAGACTTGGGATCCTTACCCTAAGCATTAGGGTTTTTCAAAAGAATAATCCTTACAGGATTAAATATTTTAGAATAAACTACCTGATATTCTGAGAAATCCTTAATAGAATTTAGCAATGACATTTGAATTCTGTAGGAAGGTTGAACTTTCTTTGTTTTGAGGTTTACAAATTCAGTCAGTTTATTTCATATGTTCATACAAGAGGTTTTCGTACTCAAACAAAGAATAGTAAAAAATTTTACTTTGGCTTCTCTGGAAACGATGGAATCATTAAGAACTTGAATGTTTTGTCCTTACATAATAATCATATTTATATAGTTTGTGACATTAAAGATAACCTGAGATAAGAGGAACAATAATACAAATCAGTAAATTTATTACAAAACGCTATTCTAAATAATATACGATTTATAAACTTGTTAACCATTTCATGTTTGAAAAAAAAAAACTTGATGAATATTGGATTACCTTTACATATCGAGCTGGTTCAGGTCAAAATGCATTTACAATTGACCATATATATATAAGGTAAAATGTGAACAGATCTTTTTCGGTTTAGTATTTGAAAAACTCTTCGATACTTCTGATTCATCTTGAAAAAAAATTACTATAATTGTATTTTTTTTTTGGAATATCTTCACCCAAAACAACCATTTATCTGAAAAATACATCATGATTTGGTGAGGACAAATAAAAAACCATGTGATAACTCCAGGGATTGATCTTGTATTTTAAAATATTCCAAACGAGTATCTCATATTTTATTGAAATCAAAGTTTATCAGATAGAATAAATTGAATTAATGAATAAACAACTATAGTCCCATTTCGAATTTTTCTAGCATATATTTCTTCTTTTATTTTCAATATCATTTGAATGAAATTAATTTGTTATTGCTCAGTCTGAATTATATTGATTTGAGAAGTGATTCTGAAAATACTTACTTCAGAGTTACAATTTCAAATATCAAGATATTTGGAGTTTCTCATGGTACCTGTAGAGATCTCATCTTATATATCGAACAATTGGAAATACATTCCTTTTTAATTCAAATTAAAGTTCATTACCATATAGAATAAATGAAATGTAATGAATAGCTAGTGCCTCATTCAAATTTTTGGAACAAAATTTCGCAAACCAACTTCTAACAATGCGTTCATTAACATTATTAAATGCCTGGTTAATTTTCCAGGCTCTGCTTTGGTTCAGTTTGAATTCGAAACCGCTCAAAGACATCATATTGTAGTAATTTGAAAAGAGGCAAGTTGAAATTTGGAACGAAATGAACAGCATCAATGTATATATTATATGTATATATAAATATTTATTGAGATATGGAGCTACAAAAACACATGACATTAAAACGGACAAAACTTTTGAAACAACCTAATATATAACAAAAGACATGAGGTTTCTATTCTATACTGATTTTTATATCCATGAATGTATCGAACCTAACCCCTAGTCTCCGTGTTACCTGAATATTCGTTTCTATTAATATTTGGGCGTCAAGCGAGACATATATTATATATAGTCCTTTTTTTCCACAAGCATATTGTGACTGATCATATCATGCTTACTAAAAATTGGATACATTTAATTTTTTTTTACAAAATCATTCACCTTGTTCTTTACACAATAATCAAAAAATATTTGTGAATAACTATTAATTTATTTCACAGGTAAAAAATATGAAGATATATGTCCCTCTACACACAACATGGACGTACCTCACGTTAAACGTGAAGATTACCAGTTGACTGATATTTCTGATGACGGATATTTATCTCTCATGTCAGACAACGGAGAACTACGTGAAGATCTCAAAGTCCCAGACGGTGAGGTAGGCGCCCAACTCAGAAATGAGTATGATGCCGGTAAAGATATACTCTGCACAGTACTGAAATCTTGCGGAGAAGAGGTGAGTTGACAAAGTCATTGTATGGATATTTTTATTTTATTATTATTTTAACATGCTTTTATTAGTTTCACATGTATGTATGTTTGTAACTCAATCTTGGGATCTGTATTTGACAGAATTGCTTGATTTATTCGCGGGCAGATGGCGCTGTTCGTAACCTCCTTGATATAATTCGAACTCACTATACATGTATTTCATTTGAAAAAAATATTTTTTTCAATAACACGCACGCCTGCTGCCTTATTTGTAACCCTCCTTTGCGCGCCTACTGCCTTGGGCTTGGTAGCTGATTTTCAAGCTCCCTCACCCGAGTCGGAAAATATCAAAGGTCATTTTTTTTTCTAAATAATATACGGCTGATTGATCCCAAACTTAATATGAAATAAATATAGCTTAAAAAGACTAAAAAACACTTTTATAGCATGAAAAACTAAAAAACATGCCTTCAAAGAACGTCGAACTGAAAAGTTGAAAATATTTTTTATTAAATAAGGTGAAAACAATAACTAACGAAAAATACTAGTATTATTGTGAAAAAAGCGTGGGCGCTTTGTTTCATATTTTTTGTATATCAAGCGCCTTCATTTTTTCCATAATGATACTAGTATATTTCGTTCATTATTGTTTTAGGCTTTTTTTTTTTAAATTTACTTTTTAGTTGGAAGTTCTTCAAAAGCGTGTTTTTTAGTTTTTTTAAACTATATTTATCTTATAATTTTTCCTAAAATGGTGAAAAAATGTATTACAATCGATGTGTTTAAATATCGTCTCCGTGTTACCTGGATATTAACACATTTTGTATTCAGGCGTCTAGTGAGACGTAAATTATAATCCATTTTTTCCACAAGCATGTATGTATTATCATACTATGCTTACTGAAAATTGGATACAATGTTATCGAAAGAATAAAGGGATTATTTTGTACCATAGTGTGAATAGAAATATGGTCAGAGGGTAGAATCAACCGTTTTAATTAGGATTTTGTTTCAAACTAAAAAAATCTCTTGAATGAGTGGATCAGGTATAATACTAATTAGCTGAATCACAAATAAAAATTTAGATGCCTTATTAATAAGTGATATGGAAATTTTTAATTTAAATAATGTCAATAGAGACAACTTGGCACTGTTTAAAAATTCACATTATCTATTTTGAATTGTGTAACAAACGTGATACTAATTTTTTTTTGTTTTTTCCAACTAACTATAAATTTACTCGAGATTAGTCCATTAAGCTGGATATGTGGAGTGGATCAGTATATGTTCACATTCAGAAAGTGGTAGTTTTGGAGCCATTTCATGTTTTTGTTTTTTATTTTCAGGTGGTGATTGCAGTAAAGACAAATACTGCCTTGGATAAATAATAATGGACAGGAAAGATGGTGGGGGCTAAGATCGAACGTCATCTTGTCCAGTGGGTCCCTGCTTTATGTTATCTGAAATATATTATCGTATTGGACCATCAGTTATCAACAGCTTACTTATGTAACGCCCTATCGACTGGCAAGATGTTGATGTGGTGTATACATCTTCTGTAATTTGTTGGCTAAATTAAAATGCAAAGCTACATTTGTTCAATAAAATTAATTTAATTTTAACCCTATGTAAATTTTTTTTATCTTTTACCATCTTTTTTGGAACCACCTTTTTCTCACATCATGCTTTCGAGTATTTTTTGTATCATAGATTATGGGTTCCGTTTTTTTTTACTACTGAATAAGAATTAGGTGATTCTAGATAATTGTTGACAATTCATTGGATCAAAATAAAGTAGCATTTTTAAAGACTTGTTTTGATATTGTTTAGACTAAGTTTTAATGGAAAATTGATCGTAAACCTACCTTTATGGTTTAGCGCAATAATTTCTACTGGAATTGGTTAAATATAAAATGAAATTTCATGAAGACTTTCATTGTTCTCGTTTCCTCACTTTTTGTAAAAAGTTGATTCCTCTTTATTCTTGATAACGTCAATTTTAGTAAAGACCATTGATTTTAAAATTGCCTTTTTAATCTGTAAAATGGCGTGAGTTGATACAATACATTTTATTTGTAAGTTGTAAATCCTAGATTGGTCATAATTCTCCTATGAGGGTTTATCCAAGGACTCCCTATATACTTACTAACATAGCCTAAATGACATACTTGAGTGAGATAAATGTGACGTGTCGTGAGCAAGTATACAAGAATTACATGAATGTCAAAATTACTCGAGTTGAAAATGAGATCCCACAGGTGAAGATAACAAACAGTACTTTTGATACAAATTAGTGATACTAATGAAGAATTATAACTCGACAGTAGAATTTTTAATGAAACAATATAACTTGCAAACTAACTTTGCCGACAATAAATACACAAATTTCATTCAGACAAGTCATCTTAAAAAAAAGGTTGTCATGGTTTGAACAAGAAACATTAGGTTACTACCCCAACGGCTATCAAGGAAATATGAATATGATCGAGAAATCCCTTATTGAACTGTCATCGATAATTTGAGGCTCGTAAAGTACAATTCCATAATAGTGGCACTAAAGTCTCAGAAATATTACATTAAAACGAAAATATTGTTGTCAAGGTTGTGATTCGATATATTTTTCCTCATCTATTGAGTTTAATTTTCGTACGCCACTGCAAGAGAGATTAAGACAAAAACGTCAATCATTTCTGAGAATCTAGTGCCTACTATTTTGGAATTATAGTGTAGATACTTGCAAACTATATCCATCAAACAAAGATAGATGCGTGATCAAACCATGATCACCACGCACATTTGCATCTATTGGGTGAAATAAACAAGCGTCCTTACGCTGGCCAATCAGATTTAATTGCAATCGGCTGGCGGAATATTGAAAAAAATAAAATTTCAGTCATTTCTTAGTGCGACTCATATAAGTAGCCTTGTCCGGGAGGTCACGTGCACTATGCATGATAATGTTTTGGAGCACTCCGTTGCTTGGATGGACAGAGTACAGTAAATGCTAATGTAAATAATCATTTGTTGGAAAAATATTCAATAGATTTTCTTGACATCTAGTTACTTTCATAAAAAAATTATATTTCCAATCCAGTTCTATATTCTAAAAAGTTAAATACCAATAACCGCATAAAAGTATTCTAAAACAATGGCAATGTATTAGATTAAAAAACTACCGAGTGCTCTGTGTTGAGAACGAAAGTATTTCAAAGGTATCTAAAGTACCTACAGTGTACAATTTAACTCCAGTTGAAATTAAAAGAACTGTAGATTTGCGGCTGCTGGCTGCCTTTGGACGCTTGCCAGCCTTATTATCATAGAACTTCTATCTGCTATAAAATAAAAGTTTATAGATATTACATATAAGTAATATACATGGTTCTACGTTCTATGCACCCTGTTGGCTTAAATATAAGTTAGGATTTTGAATTTTTCCAGTGGATCATCTGCATTACCTTTCGAAGTATGAAAGCAAAATTATTGTTTTCTAAAATATTCACACATTAAAACTAATAACGTAACATTTTGTGAACACTTAAACCACTTTCTATGTAAACCATTTTGACGGCAACACTCTATCTACGCCACTTTTGATTTTTCATAAAATGAAGATATCTAACGTACTTCGGCATTCCATTCACAGCAGTAACTATAAGCACATACCAATGTTTACATTTGAAATCGATTCTTGTTTTATTATTAAAATGTGTACAAAATTGGACCAATTTCATTTTTCCCGTCGAATTTTTGACAAAACAAAAGCGAATCGGTTTAAAACCGCGGTTTCTATAGTAAACTAAAGTGTTTCAGTGATGAAAAGGAGTGCGCACTTAAAGTTGATCGATTCTCTTTTATTTATATGTTGAAAAACTGAAAGTACCAAAATAATTAAATCACTAAACACAAATTCTGAAAATCGTATTATTGGACGGGACAGAAGTCAGGTCAGATTATAATTTCGGAATTGTCAAAGAGGAAACTTCCAATTTTGTATAGCTTGGGCCTGTGTTCTGTGGTCACGAATATATTATCGCTTGTTGCTTATAATTTTTTAATTCAGTCTTGGATTCGAGATGTGACCAGATGATCACATGGAATAGTTACCGGTCTAAAAATACCATTTGAAAAACTAGTGCAGCTTTGTGTATCATTGTCTTTTTATTTGTTGATACATAAAGATATACACACTGAGTTTTACCAATAAAAACTCTATAAAAGCATAATTGTTCAAAACCTAAATCAATACTGTTGTAAATCATGCCCTAAAGAAAATAAAGCCGGCCGCCACTGGTAGCCATAAATCAATTGTGACGTAGCTAAGAGCGCGCGAATGTTCGCTGCCGTTCTAGATGTAGCGAGAATAATGCTACCAGCTATAATAAGGCGATAGACATTCGAATAATAGTTGAAGTGTTTTGTTGTAGTTATTAGTTAAGTTTCATTATTATACAGTGTAGTCAATTATTGGTAAACCCACGGGGAAAAACGTAATAATACATATGATAAAAGTGTAACTGATCAATCACTGTGGGTATATGAAAAATAACTAGCAAATACGTAGCAGTCATTGTTTAGTACTACGGCAATAACTTTGAGAGAATTATGTCTCAAGCGATATCCCTCGCGTATGCTGTTGAATGTCTACCACATTTTAACAGCAAATAATTTCAAACGTGATGTTAACAAAATTAAGGATTCAAAATATCCTTATGTCGTCGCTTTGAAACATTATATGGGAAGTACTTTAAAATTAATCGTGAACCTTGATGAGGTTCTCTCATAGAGATTTGAATTTGTTACTGAACCAAATATTATTTTGTTTACTATGTGGAATAAAAAAAACTTTTGCCTTGCTAAACAATATTTCTATTATACATCTAAGACTGTGAATATATCAGAGTTATAGTCAAAGGTTATTGACAATAAAAGATTAATAATTATTTCAAAGTAATGTTTTGGTTGTTAGTGTTCTCCTTGTGTTCCTCCTTGGATTCTTGTGAGTTATAATTTTTTTTTCATTATTTTTATTATCATTTGGTTAATTCTACGAACTCACTCAAGTGTGTCATACTTTTTATTTTGCTCCTAGAAAAAATATAAGTAAAATAGAGGAAAAGCCACCTTTTATTGAAATATAAATGTTTGTTCTGTTTTCCTTATGACCTCTTAATGATTTTATTGAAATTGTAGTCTTGGAAAATGTTTTTGAAATCTGGGATTATTTTGATAATTCACCTCTCCTATATACACACCCACCATACCTGACTTAAAAACATACAAGTAAGGAAAAGTGAGAGAAAGTAAATCTAAATTAAACCCAATTAAAAGTAGTCATAAACTTTATTATCCGAGTTGTTTGAGGATTCACATCCAGATTGATTGAAATCTGAGGTCGGGGCCAACACTTATTCTCATCCAGTGCACAGGAAAATTAATAGTGGCACAAAGTATATCTTTTCATCTGTCATAAGAACAATTCATGCTCCTTCAGTTTTCTGAAGAACTGCCTTTCATGGTTCCTGTACGAAAAACCATCATTTTCGTAGTTCATAAGACAGGTTTTCCTTTTCATATTATTTGCCAATACAAAAATCCTTGAAAATAACATCCAGCAGGTGGTCAGTTGTAACATTTCCTGTTAGTTTTCCAAGGTGACGCAGTGATTTTCTCAAATACTCTGCCATCAGCACCAAATCGTGTGATTCGTTTTGGAACTCAAGATTTATTTTATCCAAAAAAATTTGCAAGCAATGTAGACAGTCAGTAAGATGTTGGCGATGTCTTATTTGATTCATACTGGGATGTTCTTCAGATGGTTCCCCGCAACTGAAAAAAAAAATAGTTTCTAATCCCAAACTAACAAAATTTTGCAAGTTTACTTACAGAATTTTTAGCTTCTCAGTCAGTCTATTGATCAGATTAGGAACGCCCTCTTCTGTTCTGCAGGACATTTTCACAAACCTTTCCTCATCTATTTCAAATTCTCTGCCAAGCATATCAGATTTGTTGAGTACCACTATACAATGCTTGTTGAAAGATATCGTGCGATCATCTTCTGATGTGTTCATTAAATCTGGGATCTTCAGTTTTTCAATATATTTTTTAATATAGTTGTCAAAGTCGGTACTCATATTTTGTTCAGTTGCTTTAGCATACTTTCCTGAATCTATGACGAGGATTACTAAATTTGATTTTCCATACATTTTCAAAGCTCTCTGAATGCCCTCTTTTTCAACAACATCTTTGGTGGTCACGTTAAGACCTGCAGTGTCAGCTAACACCAGAGGATACCCAGCTATATTCAATGTAACTTCCAATACATCTCTGGTAGTACCTTCAATAGGAGTTACAATCGCAGCTGGACGTTGGCCTAAACAGTAAAGGTATTCACAAAAGAGTTTAGGTCAATTTTGCCAAAAAATAAAAAAATTGCGATCTACATTACTGTGATAATCACTTTAAGTTCGTATGATGATGTAGATATGATTGCCTAGATCTGGACAATAATTCAATCTGCTCTGATTTGAAAAAAAAAACAGGGGAAATTGAGTAGGACAAGAGGATTCCCCCAGGTTTCCAGGGTTTTTTACTATTTCTGTGTAATATTTCTTCTGTACAATAGTTATCCCTGCCTATAAAGTGACGTGAACGTCCAGAGAATGTCAAGACAGAAAAGAATAACATCGCTATATATGAATGTGATGTGTTAACCTGGTCATTATTTCCAATTATCCAAAATACTAACGTCACAATAATTGGCGACAAGAAAGTAAATCGCTCATTTCAATTTTCAATCTATAGAATTCATTCAACAGGTGATAGTTTACCGTATATTACCACTGATCCTTCCTGCATTACAAGTTTGTAAGCCGCCAACCTCCAAGAGAGTGCTGAAATTCTTAAGGAAACTCACTTCCCAGGTTCTGTCTTTCCTGAAACGACGAACTGGACGGATGTACCAACAACACCCTCACAATACGACTGACAATCTGCTAGTGCAGTAATTGACGAGGACAAGATAAGATGAGCCATATCGGGCTTTTCCCCCTTCAAGTCACCAGGACCTGACGGTATAAGACCAGCCCTACTTCAATGGGGACTAGACATTCTTATGCCGCACCTGGTTGGAATATTCAGAGCCTCTCTAGCTCTGAGGTATATTCCCAGTAAGTGGAGAGAAGTAAGAGTAGTATTTACACCCAAACCAGGTAGGATGGACTACACCCTACCAAAAGCATTCCGACCAATTAATCTCAAATATTTTTTTTAAACTATGGAGAGGCTATGTGAGCGGTACATAAGAGATTAAGTACTTGTTCACAACCCACTTCATCCAAATCAGCATGCATATACTCCGGGAAGGTCTACTGATTCGGCCCTTCACCATGTGGTTGGCAGAATTGAGAGATATTGGACAACAAAGAATCCACCCTGGGTATATTCATAGATATCGAGGAAGCGTTTGATTAATCAACCTTTCCAAAAATTACCCAGCAACTACACTCCAGGAATGTACCCCTGGTAGTAGGAGAATGGATACTCAAGATGCTCTCTAGTAGAGAAATACGTAACAATGTAGAAGACATCACAGTGAAAGGACTGGTCATGAGGGGATGTCCACAGAGAGGGGTCTTATCACCCCTTACTGCGCAATATCTGCTGCAGGCAACCAGTGATGCAATTGAACCCAAGTTTGTGTTTAATAAACCCCACAAAATACAAATAAAACAGAACACAGAGTCAGATGCATATATACAGACGGCTCAAAAACCAAAGAAGACTCAGGATGTGGAGTGTACTCCAGATCACTAAGCCTAAGGATTAAGTGGGGAATGGGGAAAAATACCAGCTTGGTCCCAAACATAACTGGCTGTTATCTCAATCGCCACAAAAGAAATAACCAGGAAAGGAATTTCTGGCAAAAACATAACAATTTGCACTGATAGCAGACAAGCCCTATTAGCCTTGAACAGGCAACTTATAACCTCAGGGCTAGTACTAGAGTGTCACCAAGATTTAGCATAAGCCTCGGTAGATAACAGCATTATCCTGAAGTGGGTTAAAGGGTATGACAGGAGTAAAGGCAATCGCATTGCCGACTCTTTAGCCAAAGAAGCGGCTGGACTAAGAATTTTAAGACCCTGATGATTTCGACAATTGCGGAACTAGCCAAATGTTAAACCCATGCTCAATCCTTAAAGAGATGGGATGGAATCAAAGGATGCAATCTTGTCAGGATCACCTTGGACGACCCTGGGAAGCTGGCGCCGAAGAAATATCTGGCGATGTCCAGGAAAAATCTACACTTAACAGTAGGATTTCTGACTGGCCACTGTCAACTAAGAAAACACCTCCATAATATGGGGCTAGTGGACACACATCTATGCAGGAAGTGTGAACAGGAAGATGAGACTGTCAGGCATGTCCTGTGCGAGTGTCCGGAGTTATCGTCAATAAGAGAGTGTGTGTTCGGCGAGTCTTGGCCTACACCTGCCAATATAAAGGAGATGTCTCCCAGTGACCTGTCCACCTTCCTGGAAAGGACAGGATGGACGATGACCTAGGAGGACAACTCGGGAGGATGTAAAATGGGTCACATGTAGCCTAAGTGATGTGGGAGTACTACCACCCTCCCTACTCTACAGATACAGATACAAGTTTGTAAATACCTTTCTAATATCATAATTATGGATTCCCAACATTTTGCAACTTTTATGGTCGCAATTCAAGAGCGAAATCAACCGTTTCTGGCGCAATTCTTCAGCCAATTGCGATCTAATGAGCAGAAAGTTGACGTTTCTTCAAATTTTTCAAGTATCGTACCTTTCGAAAACTACGATCAACGACGAGAAAAGTTATTCTGTGATAAGGATAAAATAGCCCAGCTTCTATGTGTTTCAATCGGTTCATCACATTACAATAACAGCTCAGCTGCATTCTTAGGTCTTGTCCATTCAAAAACCTGACCTACGACGAATTGATCAAAGCTTTCAAACAAATGCTCAACTTGCCGTTCTAAATCTCGCACCAGGTTTCAATCTCATCATTCCCAGACACGTATACGTGTTGATTATGAGGCCCTTGAAATCGATAATTTATGTATACGATTTGAAAAAGATGATCATAAAATCAATGATTGCCTCACTGACAAGACAAAACTCAAATGTGCATCACATTCGAAGAAAGGCCTTGTAGCTCGAGTATTTTAAGGTTGGAGATAAAGTAAGAAAAGCACAGATAAATAATAACATATACTGCACACTTTAGAACCACCACAAACACCCTAAGGCATACCTAGGAAATATATATTCAATAATTGGGTTTGAACTTATATACAAGAACTGTTAAAAGAATAAAGTGAATGTTGAAATTCGATTAGCAGTTCCAGCTGTTTAGCATGTTGAATTTGTTGGTGAGAGGTATAAAAGTTAGCAAGTGTTTTGCGTGTTCGGTCATTTTCTACTTTCGAAAACAATAGATAAAAAAATATGTACCAAACTTTGTGTAAAAAATGGAATTGAGTACTCAAAAAACTCTTGAAATGTTGACAGTGGCATATGGTGATTGTGCTCTGAGTCAGAAATATGTTTACAAGTGGGATAAGCTTTTCGCAGAAGGTTGAGAAAATGTGAATGACGACGCTCGCCATAGACGCCCCAGCAAATGCGATGAAAATGTTTAGAAAATTAAGAAAATTGTTATGGAAAATCATCGAATTGCTATTAGAGAAGTTGCTGAGGATGTTGGCATATCGATTGGCTCATGCCATGTAATTTTTTCGGAAATTTTGAGCGTGAAGCGTGTGACAGCAAAGTTCGTTCCAAAGAAAAAACCATCGCATGAGCATTGCTAAGGAATTGTTGAATGCCGCCAGATTTGCTTAAAAGAGTCATAGCTAGTGACGAATTATGGATATATGGTATGACATTGAAACCAATGTCCAATCGTCCTAATGGAAGGGCCCAGAGAGGGAAAACCAAGAAAAGCACGCCAAGTTCGATCAAATGTCAACGTTTTGCTCACTGTTTTCTTGGATTACTGTGGCGCAGTGCATCAGAAGTTCTTGCCACATGGTCGAACGGGCAATAAGGAGTATTATCTTTAAGTTATGCGCAGCTTGCGAAAAGGAATACCAAGAAATCGTCCGATATTGTGGAATCACGATAATGCACCTGCTCACTCGTCATTGCTTGTCCGTAATTTTTTGGCCAAAAACAATACCATAATCATGCCTCGGTCACTGTATTGTCCCGATTTGACCCCCCGCGACTTTTTCTTGTTCCTAAGATTGACGAGACCTATGAAAGGACGGCGTTTTGCAACGATTGAGGAGATAAAATGCGAGTCACTGAGAGAGCTCAAAGACATACCAAAAATGCATATCACAACTGCTTCAAGGATCGGAAAAAAACTACTTTGAAGAAGACAGAATTGAAATTGATGAATAAATGAGAAAAATTTAAATTCACATTATTTTTTCAACGGATCTCGTAGGGTGAATTCTTTTTTCGACTCATTCAAACCATATGAAAAATAACCTCGTCGTAGCTGACGAAAACAAAATGTTTCTCAGTTATTTAGAATGGCATGTACACTAATCAATTTCCAGAAATACTGAACTGTGCAAGTTTTGTTATGTGAAAAGTTTGGAACTAGTGGATATAATTTCACAGAAGCTGAAAACTATAGTTAGATACTAAAGTCAATAATTTTGACATTGTACACTTACACAATAAATTGAGAAGGCTACTCTTTCCTACATTGGGCTCTCCTAAAATAACTGTCTTAACCCCTGATCTCAAAATTTCTCCTTTCCGCCCATCAGTTAAATGCTCATCGATTTCTTTCGCCAATACTTCTACATTTTTGGTGACAGTCTGAATTATATTGTGTTCCAGTGTCTCTGTTTCTTCAAAATCTATATGGGCCTCCAGGTGTGCCACGCTATTTGTCAGTTTTCCTTTCCATCTATTGTAGAGCTTGCTGAGTGATCCTTCTGTTTGCAAAAAAGCCTAAAATATATATTTACTTTTTACTAAACATTATACAACTTTTATTCTTGGATTAAGTTTAAGAAACCCTTGCTCTACTGAATGTACAGATAGTCCTGTATTTTTTCTGCAAAAGTACACTTTTTATTAGTTCTTTCTGGGCATATAACCAAAACAAAGGTCTTTTTAATGTAGCCGTTATTACTATGGATGTAGCCGTTACTACGTGGTAGGAGATCATTATAAAAAATGAGAAATAAAGCTTTCCATGTTTTTTACCACTTTTATTTGTAACTAATATTACTGCAGTTTCGTCCTATGAGGACATTTTCAAACAATTACAACAGTTTATTGCTACTACTGTCAGAATGTGCAACACCAAAAAAGGCACGCCAAGTTGGATTAAATGTCAAAGTTTTGCTGTTTTCTTTGATTACCGTGGCGTCGTGCATCAGGGATATTATCGGATATTTCATGAAAGAAAAAGCACACAAGACGCCATCGCAAAGCTTACTTCTTTGATATACAATGCTCTTGATACCAAGAAATGCTGTCTGGGTGTTTTCGTTGACCTAGCAAAGGCTTTCGATACGGTCAGTCATGGGCTTTTGCTGGAAAAACTGGAACATCTTGGTATCAGATGAGTGGTGTTGGATTTGTTCAGAAACTTCTCAACAGGTAGGAAACAACAAGTTCTAGTAACTGGAATTTTGANGACTTTTTTCTGTTTCCTAGATTGAAGAGACCCATGAACGACCGGCGTTTTGCAATGATTGAGGAGATAAAATGCGAATCACAGAGAGAGCTCAAAGACATACCAAAAAGTGCATATCACAACTGTTTCGAGGATTGGAAAAAACTCTGGCACAAATGTATAGGACAGACCTCGTATAATTTCAAATGAAAAATAAAAACCTCTGTCAATTTTGAATACGGATATTTCAGGACTTTTCAACATGTTCTAATACTTGACTCTTTATTGATAATGTAATATTATCAATGTTGCCAGTAGCACACACTTGTATGTTGCACACCCGTGCATCGAATTTCCGTGATCACCTCACTGTGTTTATATTGCCGTTGTAATATAATTTGATCTGTATATCATTTGAAATAAACATGAATCATATACATAACTTTTGGTTATCAGTTCTGAATTCTTTCATAAATTGAGAGTCACTGAATGTTGAAAAAATAATGTCAAAAATGAAAACGGTAGTTTTAAACTGAAAAAATATAATGATTTCACACGCAAATGAAAATGATTATGTAGGTGTAAATCAAGAGATCTTTTTTTGCGGAGAATAAAAACTCAAAGTGGTCTCCACAATTTATTATCACCCTCAGAAGACTTTGAGTTTTTATTCTTTGCAAATCAACTGTACTCTACCTTGAGATATAATGGACTTCTACCACAGGTTGATTTTTTTTTACTGAAAGCTTGTTTATGCTTATCCGAATATTACCTATTTTATCGCAAATCTTAAAATAACAATCGCATTGAGCGTTCATACTTTAACGGCAAAAAGTATTTTGTACTTTTTTATGATAAAAAACATATTACATTGAATACTCTCAATAATTAACAGGAGAAATGATTCACAATGTTCACTTTATAAACTATTTTCCTTTGCTATAATTCCTATAACAAAATGATCATTCTTATCGGTTTTATCTTATCGGATTCCTCTTCCAGAAAGGCAATGGAGTAGAGTGGAGGGCCACAAACCAAAAAAAAAACATCACTATCGCTACAACTAGCCTTTCTGCAAGAACAGGCCCTGTGAAAGAGGGGTAATAATGGGTACAGTGTTACCGGGTCCCTTGCACTTCGCTATAGGGTCAAATGTAATATGTTTAATAAACTGGTTATAATAATAAATGTCTCAAGGTAGGTGAATTAACTTCGTCATTCTCTTTTATCTTTTCTGGGTGCAAGACCATTTAATGTCATCATCGAGGTGGGACGGTAGCCTGGTGGGTTGACGTGGGGGTTTGCTCCACTCACTCAATCCACCGCTGTGCGAACCGGTGGTTCGATCCGCAAGGCCGGACGATCGATTTTCACTAACTATCGTCCCACCCGTGTAAGGAATCACACGATAAAAGGTAAAACCTCGTTGGTCCTTAGCTCGCACAAGTTTCGATTTTTGAGAGTTGTAGTTCGTAGGGAGCGACACCTGCTTAATGGAAAGAGATTTAACAGATTTAACAGCATGGCCTGAAAGTTAAAGAATGTTATAAAGAATACAGGTCCGTTTTTACAAATTCAAAGTTTGGGGTCACTCATGAAATACAACGCTCTGTAAAACATTTTTATCAAGCATAAGAAAATAAATAATTCGAAAAATTTATCTCTCCCTACGTATCTACCAGAGTTGGGTCGGATACAGAAAAAAAGGATCCGAATAACGGATACGGATACAGAAAAAAAGGATGGGATATTCATATCGAAAAT